TATACAACACAAATGAACAGCCACAAATTGAAGCGAACGGGGTAGCTAAATAAGTACCTGATATCACAACAGAAGAAATAAAGAGAGCGCTTAAAGGCTTGGAGAGAGGGAAAACACCAGGTGAAGACGGTATTAGCATAGACCTTATAATAGACGCGGGAGAAATTGCAACAGTGAAACTAGCCAATCTTTTTAACAAATGCCTTCTCAATGGAAACATTCCGAAAGCCTGGAAAAATGCAACAATTATTTTGATTCATATAAACGGGGACAGGAAAGATATATAAAACTACCGTGCCATAAGTCTCCTTTCAGTTACTTACAAACTGTTCACTAAAATCATCACAACTCGCAACTCTGACAGTTTGGATTCTAACCAGCTTAGAGAACAGGCAGGTTTCCGCAGTGGATTCTCAACAACAGACCACATACACACGCTTACCCAAATAAAAGAAAAAATAAACGAATATAGGAAACCCCTGTGTATGGCATTCATCGATTACGAACAGGCATTTGACTCTGTACAAATTCCAGCAGTACTAGAAGCTGTTCGAAGACAGGGAGTAGAGGAGATATATTGTAGATTATTAGAAGATATATACGAAGATGGGACAGCAACCATCAAGCTTCACACAGAAACCGATAAAATCCCAATTAAAAAAGTAAATGAATTGCAGCAACTAAGAAATGATTTGAATAGAGAAAGCCTGAAAGTCGGTCTTATGATGAACAAGAAAAAGACTAAGATCATGTTCAACAGTAGAGTTCAATTCGAAGAGATACATGTTCAAGGCGAAGCACTAGAGGTGGTAGACAAGTATATATACCTAGGGCAACTCGTACAGACAAACACATCTAGCGAAGAGGAAATTAAGCGACGCATCAGTTTAGGCTGGAGCGCCTTCGGCAGACACAGTTGCATACTAAAAGGCTCCTTGCCATTATGTTTAAAAAGAAAAGTCTTTAACCAATGTATACCTCCCAGTTATGACCTATGGATCAGAAACATGGACTACAACCAAATTACTGGAGAGGAAACTAATAAGTGCCCAGAGAGGGAAGGAGAGGTTGATGCTGGGAATTAGTCTAAGAGATCGGATGAGGGAACAGTGGATTAGGGAACAGACAAAAGTGGAAGATATACTCGGGAGCATCAAAAAGAAAAAATGGCAATGGGCAGGTCATATATGTCGGAGACAGGACAACAGATGGACAAGGAAAGTAACAGACTGGGTTATAGATAACATTAAGAGGCCAAGGGCCAGACCTGTGACAAGATGGCGCGATGAAATGTATGAAATGTATATATATACATATATATATATATATATATATATATATATATATATATATATATATATATATATATATATATATATATATATATACACATACATGTATGTGTGTGTATATACATATATATATATATATATATATATATATATATATATATATATATATTATATATATATATATATGTATATATGTATATATAGTATAAATTATATATATATATTATATATATATATATATATATATATATATATATATATATAGTATGTGTGTGTGTGTGGTGTGTGTGTGTGTGTGTGTGTGTATAAGTATGTATATATATGTATATATTTATATATATATATATATATATATATATATATATATATATATATATGTATATATATATATATAATATATATATATATATAGTAGATATATACATATATAATATATATATATATATATACATATATATATATATCCATATATATAATATATACATGTCTACATAAACATATGGATATTAATAAATATATACGTATATCTGGATATGGATATAGCTATATAGATATACTATATATATATACATATACATATACATATATTATATATATATATATATATATAATATATATTATATATAGTATATATATATTATATATATATATATATACATATATACATATATACATACTTATATGTGTGTGTATATACATATACATATATATATACATATATATATATATATATATATATATATTATATATATATATATATATCTATATATATATATATATATAATAGTATATATTATAATATGTATATGTATATACACACACATATAAGTATGTATATATGTAAGATATATATATATATATATATATATATATATAATATATATATATATATATATATATATATATATATATATATATATATATATATATATATATACATATATACATATATACATACTTATATGTGTGTGTATATACATATACATATATATATACATATATATATATATAGTATATATATATATATATATATATATATATATATATATATATATACACACACACATATATATGTATATATAAAAATGTGTATATATATATATATATAATATATATATAGTAATATATATATATATATATATATATATATACATATATATGTATATATAGAAAATGTGTGTATGTATATATATATATATATATATATATATATATATATATATATATATATATATATATATATATAATGTGTGGTGTGTGTGTGTGTGTGTATAGATACATACATACATACATATATATATATATATATATATATATATATTTGTTGGCTTCCGTCGATCTCGTGAGATCATGGCTAACTGCGCTGAGGTCTAAATAGAGGAGCTGCAACGTCGGCTGTGGCTGTACAGGCCGATACGAGAACCGCATGGTCTGCCGCATCTGCTGCAAGTGAAGGCCGGCTCCCGTGTATGTGGTGGGGCCGATTGCAGCCACAGTTGCTTGAGGAGACGCCTCTCTCCCCATCGGGCGTCTCTCATATCCTCTGCCGCCTTGACGATATCCCGGGTGGTGGACCGCCAGCCGGAGCGGTTCGTGGCGGCTATCTCCAGGTCAGAGGGGTTGAAGCCACCAGCCTTCAGGTCGCGCTTACATACGTCCTTGTAACGGAGGGCCGGGCGTCCTGTGGATCTAGTGCCAGTGGCCAGCTCCCCAAACAACATGTCTTTAGGATGCGGCCGTCATCCATTCGGGTGACATGGCCTAGCCAACGCAGACTGTCTCTGGGACAAGATGGCGAACATGCTGGGCATCCCTGCCTTGGCCAGGACGTCGATGTTGGTGACGCGGTCCTGCCAAGTGATACCGAGCAGTCTACGGAGGCAGCGTAGGTGGAAGGTGTTCAGCCTGCGTTCCTGGACGGAGTAGAGTGTCCATGTTTCACTTCCATAAAGGAGAGTGCTCAACACGCATGCCTGATAGACTCTCATCTTGGTGTTGTGGTGAGCATGGTGTTATCCCACACTCGCTTCGTCAGACGGGCCATCGTGGTAGCTGCCTTGCCGATCCTGGTGTTCAGCTCTGCATCAAGGGAGAGGTTGCTGGAGATGGTAGACCCGAGATAGATGAACTTGTCCACCACCTCGAGAGTGTGATCACCGATGGAGATGCTGGGTGCACTACTGACGTCT